ACCGGTAATTATTTTTCAGAGCAAATTCGTCGTTGTTTCCGCTTATTCTTCTTCTTCTCACCATCTTATTTACTTTCGCGTTATATTTTGCTCCTTCATCTCTTTTTAAAAAATAACCAATCATTGTCAACAATACATAATGTCTCATTCTAAACTCAACAATCAAGAGCTTTATTAAAAATTTTTGTTAGCTTTTTTTTTTTATCATTTAATATTTGTTATTATTTTAAATAAAATATTGAAGAAGATTCATGAGCTTTTTAATTATAGAAGTCTACTTCTGAATACAAAAAAGATACTTTTCTTATGGTCTATTAAACTACGAAACTATTTTGCTATAGAGAATATGCAAATGCACTATAATTAGGCACAGCCGTGTATGAATCAAAAGTTAACTTACTCATAGGGTCTAGAGGAATAGCAAGAGAATGAGGGGGAGAGAAGGGTAAAGAAGAGTTTCTCACTATATCCTTCACGAGAAGCTTTTGTTTGAGGCAACGAATGCATTCTTCCGTGACGTAATTGATGGCCAGACGAGTTGGCGTTGTCCCCAAAATCTCTCTCCTTCCTTCAGAAGTTCAATTCAACTCTTCCTACACTAACAGACCGTTTGATTTGTACTACTGACTTATACTACTCTGGAATAAATGTTTGTCGTTATTTATTGACATTCACTTATTATTCCCGATACTTTAGTGCCTATCATTTGGTAGATAGATAAGTTTATCAATTTCAAATATAACCAATAGATTGGAGATTTACTTTCAACAGCTTGTATAATTTATACTAACATGAATCAATCGAATTCGGCCCGGATGGTGTTAACTGAACCTTTGTATTACTGCCGCGCACACACCCAGTAAACATGTCACTGGAACATGTTTGCAAATGTTCACTTTAAAATGCTATGCAAAGACTACAAAAAACTCAAAAATACTTTTTAGGGGCTATTTTCATTTGTACAAGAAAATTTTTTGAAGGAAAGTAAAGTTTGGTTATTGATTGGATTATTCATATTGAACATCTAGTCAAGTGTCTATATATTTGTTGGATGTTAATTTAATTTTATATTTTACTGTTAAATAATTTTTCTATAAGTTCATTGATTGATAATTTACAAAAATATTTTATATAACGATTCAGATTGGTTTTTTCAATCGTTCTTCAATAATACATTTATCCTCAAGTGAAAAATATTTTCCATCAACATCACACATAAAAACATTATAATTAACTTGAAGCCTTAAAATCAGAATAAGTTATCAGATGTTTCCTAAAGTGAAATATATCCACTACAAGCTATAACGAGCATGACAATTGTTGGTTTATCTAGTAGAAGTGACGGGGCGTGGGCAAATCGAACTGGATCAAGCATATTGTCCAAATTGAATACGAAATATTATCTGGCTGGGGAAGATATGTATCACCGCGCACTTAAGCGACCCCTGAGAGTTAACAAAGTGGTACTGGTTCTTATCGTGTTATGGGTATTGGCGTGGTCGTCGTATATGAGTGGATGTGTGTACCAGTGGTATAACAGTGGTTTAGGGCTGGTACTCTGTGCTCTCCTCTTTGCTCCCCTTTTAGGGAATTTCCTTCTATCTAACTCTCTTGCTCACTCAGCAGCCGTACATCTCAGCTATGCGTCTTGTTATACAATAGTCCGCCCTGTCATGTTTCATGCTGTACAATGATATCCTCACCCTCTTGCACTTCGACTTGCCTACTTGGCCAGAGTAGCACTATAATGCTGGAGCTGTATCTCAAGATAATGTTCGCAAATCACGGCAGCATGTGCAGTAGCAGCAGTTGAGGGTTACTGTGATTTTTTGTGTGAGAGAGACTTCGATTAAGGCACTTTCTACTTATTACAACTACTTCCATTTTTCTTTTCTTTCCGTTCTCTTCTCTGAGAGTTTTCCAATTAAATTGCGACACGAAGCAGCATCCAAACCACTTATTATTCGTAGCTTTTATCAGTGAAGAAGGTGGTGCTTTTATTTTAAGCTCTTTTTCTACACTTTTCGCTTTCATTTTATAAATTTTATTCTCTCCATCTTGATATACTTTAGTATTTTTTGCTCCAATCATAGTCAATTGATCTAGAAATTTATGTTTTTATGTTATATATTACTACCGGAAAAGGTTTGCATACTCTTTCTCTGTTGCATTTTTGCTCCGCTCCTCTTTCCCCTCATCCAACGCTGACACACGCGGACACTCGAGAGCGATCGCGCGTTAAATGCGCCGCCGGGCGTACGCGGTCGCGTGCCGTACGCGTGTCTTTTTAGTAGGGGTCCCATGTATATATGTACAACTCTATGCTACTATTCCAAGCGATATGGATAGACGTATGTCCGGACGTAAACGGGACGGGACTGTTCAAACTGTTGTACCGAACTTATATATTTTAAGACTTCTAACCGTGTAAAGTATTATAATAGACTCTAGAGAATTTGTGAACTATGATGACCTATGATGTGTTACCAATCCTTTAGTTCTGCTGAGCTTAACCACGTTTACATCCACTTGGGGCTGAACCGTTTGCAGGCATATGTTTTTTTGAGAGTTGATGCAATTGAGTCATTAAGTTGAGCTGTATTGAACAATTGTTTATTATCTTTTTCTAAAATAAAGGAATGCCTTAAATTATTATTATTTGACACTCAGAATATTAAGGTTTTCGTGGTAAATTTAAGTGAAACGTCTTAGCTGTAAGTGGTAAATAAGAATTCTCTGTTAATGTTTTTTATTATTTAATTTTTTTCTTGTAGACAATTTAGTAACTTGTATGTAATAATTAATAATGAAGTGCAGACACTACATTTTCAGTAAATCTACCTATTAATATTTAAATAAAACTTTTTCTTTCCTGAACTCTGAATATCGAAATAAATTATTTTTTATCAGATAGTATTCAAATTTATTCCACCAGCTGCTGAAAAATTTCCACTGGGGAATAAATAACGAATGATTTTCAATATCCAACCCTTCTTGAAACTGGACTAATTTATAACAGCTTTTCAATTTAAAGAAAAATCAATTTAAAAAATGAAACAAATTATTTTGTCGAAAAAGGAAAAAAATGTTTTCAATATAAAAGTGATAAAAAAGCTTTTGTTCTTAAGTTGTTATTATACTCTCAACTTTCCTACATGAAAATTCTATCACAATTTCAGTAGACTATTCCACCCATTTGACGTATTTCAATAAAGATCTTCTCTATAGACTACTAAGAAGTTGAACATTTTCTCGTTGTATTTCTCAATAAGCTGGTGTAGCAAGTATTACCTCTCTCTATCTTCGCAAACTCACTATTACCAGCTTCATGAACAGCGTTGGCACCAAGATCCGGAAGAAATCGAGCAAACGGGAGAGATCCTCTTTTCTGAGTTGGTGTCTGCAGGGACAAAGCCAACCACCACCTGTCGTAATAGTAAATACGTATAGGTAGGTTTTGATCGTGGCTACCTAGCAACCGAGTTGCCTTCTAGTTTATCTGTCTCTGTCTTTATCAGCGGCTGGATAAGGAGTCGAAAGAGCAGGAGATAGTTCCAGTGTCTACAGCATCAACTCTCTCTCAACCTCGATTTCACAAAAAGCTCCTGCCTGAGATGGCGCTATCCTCATTAATACAGCGCAAACATGATGCGCAGACTCGTGGCGGAAGAGCCCGCCTCTGTGAACAACCACCAGGGACAACCACCTCCGTGTGGCCAGGGTTTGTCTCACCCCTGTTCAAGACTTGCTGTGGGGGCGGGACGAAATGTAACAGCGGCTCTTCCTACCGTCTTTTTCACCAGTATTGCTCGGCTCGGTAAACGACAATGATCGCCTCACCGAGTGTAAGAAAAGATCAAGAAACAAGTCAATTGGGCTGATTTTGATCTCGACATGACGCGAAATTACCTGATTGTCATTAAAGTTGATCAATTTTAAAAAATAAAAAATTGACATTGTGTTGAATCTGTTGAAAATTGGGCAAAGTTCCGCTTTTGTGAGTGATTTCTTACGTGAAACACTTACAGAGAGCCATCTGGGGGCAGTGGAGGTGTCATCCGCCGTTGGCGAGATGCTAGACCTCAAGAGCAGCGGCACAACTGCTGCTGAGCTACCCAGAACAACGGCTTTCACCAATTTATCTATGCTTTTTGCTGGTATGTGTTTTATAAAACTTGTGAATATCCAGTGAAAATGATTATTTTTCATAACGTCCGCATATTTTTTCTGTGATTGATTTTTTATATCATGCTTTATCTTTTATTCTATTTTTTTTTATTCTGATAAATTATCAAATAATTGAATCAGTAGTAACGTTAATAAACTCTGGTATCACATGGTACAAAATTGGGATAAGAAGATGAATAAACATTTGTAGAGACTCATTGCTCGATTATTGGCTAGAGTATTTAATAGCACATCTCCAGTTGCATTATGAAAGAAACTCGAGGCTCTGTTAATGGAGACAGCGATCAAATCAAAAGGGAGAAATAAGAGAAAAAGTAAAGTTTGGCATTTGGGAAATGATTTGTTTGCCGAGGAGAAAATGTATGGTAGCCAAGTATCCCTTTTCCTCACCCCGCGTCATAGGTCACGTATGTACACAACAGAATCTCAGCCACCCTCGTACCAATCTCTGACCCCGTCGTATTCGCGCCAATAACTGCCAAATGAAAATATAGCTGTCCACAAACAAACCACTGGCGAAATTGAACTCTACATTTTTTGATAGCACTGGCGGGGGAAATTGATCATTTGGGAATTGAGGGTGTAGATGCGAAATTAGGTGAATTGCTGTATTCAATCATTTAACATTGCCATGGAAATGTTTTTTATGAGCTTTATTATACCATGATTTTAATTGTTCAAGGTATTTTATTTCTAGTTTATTTACGTTTTATTTTATAAATTTATTTGTCCAGACAACATTTCGAATACATTGACAATATGAAAGTAATAAAAATGCAAAACATATTAAAATTAAAAAACTTTGATTGTAGATGCCAGCAGTTCATACAAAGGAGGTTGGAGCCACGCCACCTCGCCTGCTCCTGGACAGGGTAAGTTTTTTACTGCCAAAAAACTAGAAAAAATAATGTAAAATAGAGAGAAAAGAGGAAATGGTGCTTGAAAAAAATAAGCTTTTTGTGAAAGAGGTAAAAATTCCATGCTTTTCAAGAGTGAAAACATGCAAACAGCAAGCAAGACGAATGTCTGTAGCGATAACAATTGCTTTTTGAGCGTCCTGTTGTACCAGGACTTATCAGCATTTTGCGTTTCAAGTACTTTCACTCTTTCATCTCTTCCTCCACAAACTCTTGCATTTTTATCTCGCACTACAGAGCAAGAGCACTCTTGTGAGCATGTAAAAAAGTAAAAGAGCTAGAGAGATTGGAAGAATAGGTTGTTGCAAGTTCACGCATCGTGGCACGAGAATCGCGAGAATACTAGAGGGGCAAGAGAGGTTAGAGAGGTTGGTAGGTGGATTGGAAGTCTAAGCGCACATACAGGGCGTGGACATCCCAGTGCTTTGTGGCGCGTTGAACCGCGGCCCCTTTGTCGTAGTATACCCCCAGGGAGTGTAAAGATGTACGCGAGGAAGCCAGAAATCACCTCGCACCCCGTCAATCCCCTTTCCTACAACCATCCAGGAACAATCATTGTGAAGATCAGAGCTTTGCCCGCGAGCAGTTTGTTATAAACGGCTTCTACCGTTCCCTCTTCATTTCCCTTCAGTCTCGTACTGCAAGACATTAAGCTCAAGATCATATAGAGTACATTTACGTATGAGTGAAGCTTTCGTAAATTTTGACCCGAGGGAATCTGGACTATCATCAAGGTGTCAAAAGGATATGACAACAGGGACTAAATTAGATTTTACCTAAAGACGAGAATAAAAAACTTATCGTTCCGACATGAAAGGTATTTAAATAAATACGAAGCTGAGAAGATTGGCTCAGAAATCAGAAGCAATTTCTTTACTCGTCATCAGAGTATAATTCTAAAATAATACATCATACATTTGTTTTCTATTTCTACTTTATCATCTTTTAGAAATATATTCTTCATAAATAGTAAATTGAATTTGAATGAAGTGATCAGATGTTATGAAATTCCATCTTCATAATATTTGTTACAAAAGTAGAAAAGAGCATAAACAAAAAATTCTCGCGTGATGGTTCGATCCTACACTGACTTATTCACTTCTCTCAACTTTCTTCAGACTGTGTAGGAGCCTTACCATGATAATTACCGTGCACTTTTTTATAGCAACAGCGCGTGCCTAAGTTACTATCCACTCACTCGAAACCTGGCGTTTGCCATCGCGTGACTATCTTTCTAGTAACTATAGACCTGATCGTACGATCAAAATTCACCTCACCTTGACACCCCCGCTAATAACTACTCCAAACATAACGTGGAGGTATAACTCACGGCCAACCACTTACCCTTGTGTACATTCATAAAAAAGTAACTAATTGGACTGAGCTTATTTTTATTTTTTTTCACGTGCATTATTTTGATTTGAATGATTTGGTATAATGGCCAAACAGCTGTTGACTTTTGACGTGTCATCGTGAGAAATGAACCCCGAATTATGATTAAGGTCAAATAATGCATTATGAAAAATAATCAAAATAGAAGGCTATTATTTTTCTTAACATCGTACTCAGTTACTTTCGATTATCAAGATAAAAAACTTTATGAGTAACATGTACTTGGTTCATTTACAACAGATTTATTCATTAATGGATTTGATGAAAGATTTCGAGAAAAAAAATGATTACTCATTACTTGGATTTTTTTTAGATTGTCGTATTAAATTCTTCATAAGTTATTTATAAGGTGAAAAGGATAACAATAAAATGAGATATAAATCTTTTTTTTTTCATAACAATTAAGCAATCAAATTGAAATCAAACTGTTTGCTTTTTTAAATTTTTTCAATTATTGTCTTGAAAAGTTTTATGATTGAGAATAAATTGTTTTACTAGTGTTATAGCATTGGTAGTCTAGTAACTAAATAATACAAAGGAGTATATTAAAAAGTCTTATCTACTTGTCGTCACAAATCGTGTTGAGAAAATTCATTGTGACTGTGAAGAGAAAACAACGTAAAATGGGGATTTGAGGAGCATGTAGCATATTGGTATGGGGTGCAGACTGTTAATGTTCCAGTGAGCAAGAGTGATAGAGAAGAACACGCCGCGGGGGTCTATCGTCACCGATATTATGTCTTCGGTAGTACATACATGGTCACGTGCCTATGCGTGACACGTTCACGCATGGTCGGGTCGGTTTCGACTCCCCGTATCGTTTCACATTCACTCTGTTTCCTTTTTCGTGGACGTTGGGGGGATAGCTACTGCCTCGAGAACAAGGGTGAGTTTTGACTGGAACAGGGATTGTATTTCCACTTTGAAAGTCGTCGAGTCGATTCTTATTCTTTCGCTACTTTGACACCGCTGCTCTTTCATTCTACTATTGCTTGATTGACCGTTGGAGCTAAACCAAGTTAGCTTAAGGATCGATAAACACCGTTGATTTTGATTTTTTTCTATACGAGTGATGATTTTAGATCTAAAAGTAAATAAAATATTTGCCAATGTTTACCGGAAATCATTTTTCATTGCTTGAGTTTAAATATAGGTACTTGTTTAAGTCCTTCTAGATCATTTTTGCCATTGTCAAAATCAGTTTTAATTCTTTAAATTTTTTCTTCAGTAGATTGTTGTGTAAAACAACGATTAGTTGATGATATACATATACTGAATATTCTTTCACAAATTTTTTATTCTCGAAATAATCGCCGAGATGAATCAGTTAAGTAAAGAGGTATTTGAAGAAAAAAATAATGATTATTGAAATAAGTTTATTGATTAGTTTTGAACTTTTTGATTAAGTCATGTTCAAAGTTATTAAGTGGTAGATAAAAGAAAAGAGAAAATGATTCATGAAAAAATAGATTCAAATACACAAAATTTACCATAAAATCAGAGTTACCCGACCGAAACAATCACGCTATAGTCGCTATCACCTGACCACTAGCTGACCTCACTCGAGCGCAGCGTTTTGCATAAGGGTAAGCGGAGCCTCGCGTGCATACACCGACAGAGAACAGAAATCAAGCGATTGAGAGCAGAGGGCTCAAAGTGCGTGACTTACATTTGCCCTCTATCTACTTATTCTAATAAAATTTGTTAAAAATGCTATTGTGATTGCCAGTTCGGATATACTAATGATTTTATCATATAAATAAATCACTCTAGAGTTATATAAAATTAAACATTACAGTCTGATATAGCAAAATAATTATAGATTCTAATTTGTTCTCAAGAGAATTGTTAGCTTCAGTTAAATGGGACATGTGACGCATGGAAAATCTTTGCAAAGCAAGACGAGTGTAGAGGGTTCCAAGTGTAGCAAATTTATCCCTTTTATCCAGCATACTTAGCTCAGACTTTCCTCCTTTCTGTATTCTTTTTTTTCGTCTTCACTTGTCAGAGTAGCAGCATTGTGAAAGCGTCTGAAACGGCTAAAGAGGAGTGCGACAGCGTGGAATGGTTGGTTCCTTTGATCCTCCTTGTCTTGATGCATGTATGTGTAAAACACGGGAAAAGCAAAGAGGGTGTGCCGTGTGTTCATGGATGTTGAGTTCGACGTGCTACCTAACGGGATTACCCCGCCCGACGTAATTGCTTGTGAATGCGCAGATAGGTCCACAATAGGCTGAAGAGAGAAACTGCTTCAAGTTGCAAGCAACGCTGGAATATGTCAAAGCTCAATGTTAATGTTGGTGTGTTTTCTACAACAATGTTGGTAACTGCAATACAAGACTTTTCGTTTCAAAGAGTTATTTAATTTGATGGAGATGATGTTGGCTCGAGGCCATAATGATTGTGGTGGACCCTGATAGATTTCTCGACTCTCAGACCTGATGTTCTGCCAATCAACAAGGACAATCCAATTGCTTATCTTGTAGGACACAACTGCTAGTTAGAGAGCATCTGTGACTATAGCTTTAGGATGTTTTTCTTGCTGTTCAAGGGATAGAATCAATCTCACCATACTGATGTCATCATTAAAACATAATCAGAATAAGTGTTACAAATGATTGACAATTGTTATATAATTGAGAGCATATGAAAGAGCTGAATAACTGAAATTATGATTGACATTAGTCAATGATTATCTACAATCACCGATTTCATTCCAAACCTAGTTTAGTCAACTAGCAGAGTTGGATAATGTTCTTTTGGAAGTACAATAAGCTTAAATTAAGGGCCATTGTACTGAAGTTTATCAGTCTCGTGTTAAAATACGTGACTATTATTGTTCGATAGTACTGATAACATAGATTTGAATATTATTCTTAATAAACTATTTTTGGAACTTTTATTTTCTCCAATAAGGAAACAAAGAATAGCGAAAGATAATGTTAGAAGATAGGTACTGAGGTAGACTATTAATGATAGACACTACTTTGAAATTCCTTTTCTTAAAAAAAAATAGATCAAAGTTGACTGGTTAGTTTTTTCAAAAACGAAATGAACTTTATTCGACTCTGTAAGAACTTAAAGTAGGGAGAAACGTATACGAAAAGTACTCGCTAGGTCGTGTTTGCCTACACGAAAATCCTCTCTAACCAATTCTAACGCTCGAACGCTCTTACTAGTTTATCTCACCCGTCATTCAATCCCTTTTTGTCTCTACATGTCTATGTATAAAACCTTTCACTTGATCTATTCCTTTTTCATCTTTCTATAAAATGCGATTTTCAATCTCTTAACGAATGGTCGATGCTTGTTTGACCTCTCATCAAGTCAGTAAAGAAACATTCACGGATGTCTATGGATTTTTTTTCTTTTTATTTATTTATTTGCTTAAAAAAAAATAAAATGATTCCTGTTTGGATTTCAGGTTACGGAAGCGGCTTGTCCAAGTCTGCACTTGATACTCATTCACATCTCCGGCAACCTGGTGAGTAAATTACGTGCACTTTATATTATAATAAGGAAAAAAAAAATTCGCAATAGCTTGTTCAACTCTAAACTACCCACGCGATTACATTGATCGTTGACCACTAGCTTTTCTACCTCATACTTCTTTTTTCTAATGGCAAACCACGCCCGAAGAATTATTTTTATGATTCAGTAAAAAAATAACATTGATTTTTTTAAGTTATAGTTAAATCTATATTGAAGTTCATAAATCAGTTTTGTAACTGACAATATTGTTAGATCTTTAGTAAACTTTTTGGTAGAACAACGACTAATGGTTGTACCCCTCGTTTGTACAGATAAATGGGTGTGCCTCAACCCCTGTTGGCATTATTAACTCGTAAATGAATTACCGTTCGATCGAAAGCTGATCGTTCTGTGAAATTCACGGGATTCATCCATTGAAACGACCTTTGAGGTTCGGCCACTCGGATTTTCGCCCTCTTGTGTTCTCTCACATTTTTTCCCCTCGTTGTTACATTTTTTTATGTTCAGCAATCATAGTCTCGTGCTTCCAAGCGAGCAAATTGACTGACTATTTTGTCTCTCTTTTTTCTATCTACCTTGCTCGTTTTTCTTAGATTTTAGATAAAACATAAGTTAATACTTAGCTCTCGTGATCGACGTAATTTTCAACTCCCTTAAATTGACATTTTTTCTACGAAATTATTCACGTGTTATTACTATATTTATGAACAAGTTCTTCCAAAAACTGTTAGTAAAATTTCAATAATGTTCAGTCGAAATTCAGTAGAGACTGGAGATTAGATTTGCAGGCTATTTATTAATACATTATATCACTATTAAGCCGTTGAAATTTCAAATAACTTCTCCGAATGTCAAAGTAAAAATAAATTAAAAAATTTATGTCCTACGAGTGATGTTTTTTAAAGTACAGTTTTTATGTTTTGAATGACTAAAATAGTTGGTATTATTCAATCTCTCGTTAAAACGACCCTCAGTGAAAAATTCAAGAACTTTAACAAGTCTGGAAATGTCTTGATGTAAAGAAAAAAGAATCTTTGATTGGAAGATATGTGGCACATTAGCGTACAATCTTTCTTTTTCTCTTTTTCAATTGAAATTATTATGATCCAAACGAACTTCTCTATTCCATTGTGGGGTTGCGATTATATCCTTTGTACGACTGTAGGGTCCTCCATGGACGGGCGGTAGTAAGCGACGCTGATGACGCATTGTAAAGCTCTCGACCGAGAGCCATGGCTAAAGAGAGAACAACAGATACTGAAACGACTAGGGTGGTAGTTGAGCGGTGAAAGCAGCGTGTAATAAATAGGTATTCCAGAGGATATGTGGTTAAAAGCAAATCCTAATAATTGAGCACCACCCAGATTTTATTTAAGTTTTAAATTGATTAATAGATACCAATTGACCTGCCAAGTGGTTCAAGTACCGATGTTTCATCATTAATTATTATTTTTTTCTATTTTCACTCAGATCCATATCAGATGTTTGGTGCAACGAGCAGTCGACTTGCGAGTTCTGGTTCTGGACAAATTCAACTGTGGCAATTTTTACTAGAGCTTTTGTCTGACTCCAGCAATGCTGCTTGTATCACATGGGAAGGAACAAATGGTGAATTCAAGCTTACAGATCCTGATGAAGTAGCAAGACGTTGGGGAGAAAGAAAATCCAAGCCTAATATGAATTACGATAAACTATCAAGAGCCCTAAGGTCAGTCAATTATATTTTTGTTTTTCAATTGATGTCAAACTGATGTCTAGTAATGGAATTAATCATAAACAATATTTTGAAATAGAATTAAAGATCCTTTTCCCTTCAGTTGATTTTATGTTATAAATGTTTTGTTACGTGGTACAAGAGAGAGAGAGAGAGAGAGTGAAAGATAACTTGGACTACTAGGGGACAAATTTCAATCACTGTACGGTGAATAGTTGCACCAATACCTTGCCAAAATGAATCGTCTATGTCTGCAAATACCTCGACCGGGCGGAGGCGACTATTATTTTTCGATCAGTTTCCCCGATTGGATTACCCACCCGTTGAGTTTTCACTCTCTCTTCTGCTATCTGTCTGTTTGTTTGCCGTCTCTTTTTAGCAACCTTGCGACATGCTTCCGCTTTGTATTCCCCTTGCTCTGCATACTATTTCTATACATTTCTCGCTTTTCCGATGGCTTTACGATAATTGCTCGATCCCACGCCACCATCAACGCTGCTGTTGATTTATGATGTAATACAATTTTTATTTTCTCGCACTTCAATTGACAAATCAATAATTTAGTCTTCCTTAAATTGCCATGAACCTTTTTTTGCACTTCTTTCCTATTAAGTAATTTGTTTAACCTGAATCTATCTAAGACTGTTGGCAAAAATTCACTACTAATTTCCAATGTAGTAGGTTTACTTTTTTCTTAATTTTTTATCCTCTAAGCACTTGGATTTATTACTATCTTAAAATACTTAACAATAATTAGCAGAGAGCAAAGTTGCTGAAATATTTACCTTTACAGGTACTACTACGATAAAAATATCATGACTAAGGTGCACGGAAAAAGGTACGCCTACAAGTTTGACTTTCAGGGATTAGCTGCAGCAACACAACCAGCAGCTGCTGATCCAGCGGCATACAAGTACCAAAGTGAACTGTTTATGTCAGGATATGGTCATGCTAAATTGAATCTGATGCCACCACCAGCAGCATCGGTTTCAGTGTCAGTCCCAGGTGGTCTTTTTCAGTCAGCATCAAGTTACTGGTCCAGCCCTGGTGCTAATCTCTACGCGGGACACCATACTGCTTCAGGACACGTGCCCCCGCATCTTGGCACTTATCCTCATTACGCATGACCCACCCCAGAGCATTGGGGTGCACTAGGTACACCACGTTAAGGTGCCAAGTGCCAGCGGAAACTATTTTAAAAGGTTCTCCGGAGTTACTGAAATACTTTTCCCTTGATCATGAGCTACTTAATCAGCTCCATTTGAATAATGTAATATATATTTCAGTAAATTTATTGACATTTGTCAGTAATTAGAAAAATATTAAAAAAAAAAACAAAAACAAACAATTCTTCAAGTGCAACGATATTTGGAAACACGAAAAATCTTTTATTTTATTTCATTTTCATTGTGCCATATAATTCGTGCCATATCTCGCTATTTTTACGAGACTTTGGAGATAATATTTGTATATACATATGTCAGTTTCATTGTTATTTGCTCTTTTTTCGTGTTTCCCGAACATAACAAACGAAAAATTAATAGCTCGAAATTCGAGGTTAAAGTGTTTCGACTCATCGGAAATGACTCCATTAACGTATAAATAATTCGTGTATCATAAACTCTTTTAACTTGTTAAATGTGCAGAGTTACATTCATTTTGTGTTCATTTTTAAATTATCCGATGATCATCATGAAGCACACTAAGGACAATCTTATTCTCTGAATCGGATATAGATTAGGATAATAAAGACAATCGACTTGAAACATTAATTTCAGTGCTCGCATGTCATTGTCTTTCGATTCAGTGATTGCAGATAGTCTTTAAAAAAAATGTTGTCATTATGGTTATGTAAGAACAATGTATGTACATATTGGACTGATGATTAAGGCAAGTTGGTTTGGCGAGAGAGTTCAAGTATATCAGAAGAAATTACGAAGTACGTTATTTTAAATATATCAATTAACTCTTTTATCCAACCATCACTCTTCAGATACATGATTTTAAAAGAATAAGAAATAAGTCATAAATTGACATTCAGAACACTTTTAAACTCTCTGCAGTCTACCGACGGCCTAGAGTTTTGCCGAAAGAATGTGATCAAGCTCGGCTATAAATAATACGTGTATTATAAAATTACTTTTAAATTATTTGTTATGAATGTAATAAATTATTAATGCACTTATATGAGGACATGCAATATTTTAAAAATCGTGTGCTCACGTGTGAGTGATTTTTGTCCAATGTAATAAAGAAGAATTGTGTTGGAGAAGGAGAAAAAAATTACTTCCTTGAAAATTTTTTAAATTCAAAAGTCTGGTGATGAAGAATTATAATAACATAACATTTTTATTTAAAAGGAAACTTGGTTAAAAATTAGATTTGCATTGACATGGAAGTACTCTTCTTTTCCTTCTAGAAATAATTTTTTTTCTCATTGTAAACAGTGAGAGTGATATCTTGAGTTATCGCAAAAAAAATTGTTTTATTAATTATTTAAACGTTAAATTTTATTTATTATAATAAGGAGTCTAGATTGATTGGACTGACATACATAAGATCAAAGACGTTTTGTAAATACTAAAATGATCGTCTTTGAAAAACCAAAGAAAATATCCTTGTTTCCAAATCTAAATAAAACTAAACCTGTACCTATATGTCATAGAACGAAATATAACGTCATATAAAATGTATAATACCAAGTGAAAAATGTAGGAGTGATGGTAAAAACAATTATTGAAAATCTTTTTAAAATTTAAGGGTATTATATAATAGAATCAATAATCGTCATAGCTAAAAGAGTTCAGATTCAGAAGTAAATTAATTAGCTAAATTTTTAAAGAACAAAAATTTGCTAATTGACTCCCAGACTTGCAATTCTGAATTCTCGAGGCTTAAATAATGTAGATAGGGTGTTTTTATGTGTAGTTTAGATAAGTAGTGGGCATCTAGTCTTATAGCAATCAACAGCAGTGGATGATGTGTGAAATGTGGAGTACTGTATGAACCTCAGACACAAACGAAAACAGCCGCAGAATAAAAACTAGTTATGTATGACTCTTTATCATGTGAATTAACTGAAGATGAACACGATAAATTAGTAACACAGATGCCGAAGGATGATGATAGTGATGATGATGAATGAGGGTACGTCTGACTCCAAATGGAGAATAAGCTATGGCGATAGTTTAAACTAGATAGACAACCCCTCGACTCACGCTAAAAACGAAAAATTACAAGTTGCAAGAAAGAGTGAGAGAGTAAAAGAAAGAAATAATGACGTTGAAGAGAAAGAGACAGAAAACGTTGTTGTTCTTGTTGTCGGTGGTTTGTATTAAGTCGCCATGTTCCAATTAAATGGAGCGACGGAGTTGTATCAGTCGTGAGCGAAATCAATGTATTTCACTGGCATTTCGTGTGTCTATATGTACTCAGTTTCTATCTCACTTGCACTAGTGGAAGAATGTTGGAAAAAATAGGAGAGTGTGATACAGTGGAGAGAGGATGAGAGGCGAAGAGTTGGGTCAGACTCGTCGGCGGTTGGCGAATTGGTTGGGTTGCCATGGAGAAGCTGTGCCACCGAGTAGGTTCTGCGGGGGTGGTGGAGCTTGTTGCCTCGCGGTAGGGGCGGGACCAACGGGAAACCCCCATCGGGAAATTCGCGGCACCGAACGTTGGTTCGAGTGAGAGAACTTGGCCCTCTTCTCCTCGCCGCATCCGCCTGGCTAATCGATTCTGCTACCAATCAGGACTCGCATGTCGTTTCTTCCGCTCTCACTCTTCCTCTCCTCCTCAAACCACAGTAAAAGCTTTTCACCCAGTGTGCAAGTGTATGAGATAGTAGATACGAACGTTTACCAATGCACCTACGCCGAGGTAATGAGAACAAGAATTATTCCAGTCTTTATTTTATCTTATTTTCTGTTTTCTTATATAATAGAAATGGTAACACGAAACTTGTTGTATATATTAATTAATATTATAACGACTTTTATCCATTGTATGAAGTATTAATTCATTATTATGTGATCATCTATAATGAACAATGCGAGATATGTGTGCGATAAATTTTTTGGAAAACTGCTGCGCGGAATCCAATAGTCAGGGTTACGAATGTGGTTTCAAGATTTAATAAAAGTGCAATAAGCTGTTTATGAAAAAAAATATCGACATAAAACCCTTGGCGGACAATAAAAATTCAATGACGATACTGTGCTATTATTATTTTATCCTCAATTAGATCCTTTCAAAATCATATCCTTTCGTTATTACTTATATTTTAAACGTTATAATTAATGAAATATAATTATATAAAAATAATTTTGTTTACATACTGAATTTCTTTTTTTTAACAAAAGATATATAATGTTAATACTATTCATAAAAGCTCATAAAAATCGATATCTAATACAAATTTTCTTTTACTTTTTTCCTTCCAACATTAAATCTAAGATTCATATATAGCTGCACCTTGATGAGGTTCTGTTGTAAATATTATCTTGTCTAGTTGATCTTCCTCAGATAATCCATGCAAATTCCTTATTATTTGTTTAAGATCGTTGATCAATTGATCAACTTTATCTTTGGTTGTTAAAATCACGACACAACCACCCCACCTGAAGAATATATTTCCGAGAATATGTTAAATGATTATTTTCATGAAATTTACGATAATGAAAGATAACGATGAATGTTTAGAATAAATGGTATCTTAAGGTCAAATTTACCCAGCTCCTGTGAGTCGTGCTCCCAATGCTCCTAACTTTAAAGCCATTTCAACAAGTAAATCTACTGACTCATGACTACACTCGTAAAGATAACGTAAACTTTCATGGCTCAGATTCATTAATTCACCCAAATGATTTAATTGATTAACGTTTGAACTCTGACACACCCGTTGAAACTCCAAAACTCTTGCGGCCTCTGCATTATAAAAAAGATTATGAATTATTTTTAAACCGTCAGAATTAATTCATTATTAATATCAAACAGCAAAAATATCAATCAATTATGACTACAAACTTGTGTTTTATCACCTTGCAAAACATGTTGACATCGTTTCATAAAAACAGGATGTTCAACTGATAAAATTTGCTCGGCAATTTTTAACGTTTCGTCAAAATTGGTCCCAAGGCACTTTTGAAGTTCTCCAATAGTCTTGACATCTTCCCAATGATCTAATTTCTGTTTAGCAATCAAATTCGCCGCAGATTTACATTCATGAACTCGAGTATTGAATTCAGTGGTAGCAGCTTTGTTGAATTCTACCATGCTATTTGCAATAACAAATACAGCTTCATCAGGTAGCTTAACATCAATTGTTCTTAATGGATTAAATTCTATCAACTTCGCAGCACCTACAAATGAATAAAATTAGTATCTCACAGTTGGTACAGAGCGGAGTTATTTTTTAGAAACACGTTTAAATGTGAACTAGATACCTGCTTTAGCAAGAAAAGCTATCGCTTGATCCATTGCGCCTCCTTGAGTACCAATATGTCTCTCTGCTTGTGAGCTAAGCAACGCAAGATCATTTTTCGACATCGGATACTATAACATGCAATTTAAACATTCAAGTATCATAAAGAATTCTGACGATCGACTGAGAGCTAGATTTCATCGTCTTACCTCAAAAGCGTAGGAAACTGCCAGAACTGCTGACGATACCAGTGCACTAGAACTTGATAGGCCAGCTGCTGGTGGAATATTACCCCAGACGGCTACATCCAAACGAGTTTTGAATTTTTTTTTTGGAATCTCTTCCATAGCACCTACAACTCCACAAATAAAATATTTATACCAATGTGGCTGTTTATTGTTGATTAACTCTTCCCTGTAAATGATATTTAATGAATTTAGAATAATATGTTACCTATTCTCCATTAAATATTTACGTTTTATTTATAGGATACCTGCAGCTTAAAAAATTGTCGCAGATGTAGTCAGGATACTTATGACTTTCTACATTCGTAAGATGTAATCCTGAAGATGAGCTATGAGGTTTACCAACAGCTAAAAGCACATCATGCTCGATAGCCATAGGGCAAACAGAATATCCAGAATAGTCGACATGGTCACCGATTAGATTCACCCTGTATGTGTAAGTGAGTACAATAACCGGCTATTAACTCCAACCATCAGTAAAGTGCAGTTTAATTTAATATAATTTAAAAGTTGGTACATACCGTCCTGGTACTCTGGTAAAAAAATCAGGTTTATAATGAAACCGTGATTCAAAATGATTAATTAATTTTTCAAATCTTTTCTTTAACAATTCATCTACTTGCAAAACTGGTACCGTATCCATTTCGTATAATTTTTTGATAATTTTTTTTTTGTCACCTGAAAAATATCGTACAACCGTTTAAATAACTGTTAGTAAATCCGACTAAACGTCAAGTGAATCTTTATTGACACGTTGACAAATATTTTTCAATAAAAACTTACCAATAAAGTGATATGACTTCGAAAAACGTACGCGCTAATATAAAAACAAATCACAATACTGATTAATACATTCGTAATCGAAGTCAACTCAAGGAATAATTACAATAATAAAACATTATCACTAATTGCTTTTTTATAATAACTATATAAACATATCCTTCACTGAATCCACCGATATCTTATCGTACGCTTTCCGGCACAACACGAATAATATTGGCTGCTCCGTAAAAATACGACTGCGCAAAGTCTGTGTCATGCGCGTATTGAACCACTGGTCATTGAAGTGGAAGTGGTTCCGTGTTGAAACATATCTCTTTGTCTTATTGATAATACAGAAATCTAGTCTTACCAACTGATGGAATTAATCTAACTGTCGGTAACAGTTTATTCGTTGTATGCACGGATGGTAAAGAAGAAGATTCACGAGTAAATTTTACCAAAAACAGATTAGCAACGACGCAAGTGGTCAAACCTCGAATTATACTGCAAGATGGCGTCTGTATTAATGATATTTACTGCGCGTCGTTTTGCTAAAAATACATTATGACTCCGTAAAGTTATGATGGAACACGAAATAGCATGAAAAATAAGTCTTAAAGTAAAATGGATTAGTTTAAAATGAAAATGTTCAAGAGTTTAACATCACTGATATAACTTTTCAATATCTACTTTATCAAATTATTATAAATGTATACTGGAAGAAGGATTGCTCGAGGTAAAATTTTTTGGAGTAGTTTTAGACAAAATATCCTTATAAATGAGTCATTTCAGGAATAACTTTATAAATAGACGACATTCTTCCTCGTTAAAATACACTGTAGTCGAGATGATTGAAATGCATCATTAAGCTTCACTGGTTGATTGTAATTACTATAAATACAATCCTAAAAGAAATGTTACCTTCACTTTTTGATAGTACAAAAATAGAACTTATAAGTCGTAATTCCTTTAATTTAATTTATGAGCAATGATAAAATTTTTTTAATGATAGTTCAATTTTACATGAATTTATGACATTTCATGGTTAGAATACGTGTTAAGTAACAGGAACTGAACAAATAAATTAAGCCAATTCATTTACTTTTTTCAGATACTTTTTTCTACAAATTAAATGGACTACATAATTACAAAGATCTGTATTTTATCTTTTTGAACAATACATAATGTATATAGTACTAAAAGACAATACATAGAACTAAAGTAAAGGAAAGAAGAGCGCATATCCATGTTGGAGATAAAGTTTTTGCTGAACATCGTATGTTTCTCATGTTGATCCGCACATTTTCCAGGCCGCTTGTTTGATCGCTCTTCTTTTTCTACGTTAACACAATCGGATTTTTCTTCTTAACGATTGTATTTTGCTCTTGTCTGATAGCTAAAGTTTTACATAGTAAAGTCAGAATTTAGATAATGTGTACGTATCCTAAAAAAATTATTTTTTATGGTATCTCGATTAATCACTTAAGTGCAACGATAACCAATTTTTTTTTATTTCCAGTCTGCATTTCGCGTCGTGAAATCGTCTATATTTCACGACAAGAAACTCCGGAAACAAGTGGAAATACCACGCAAAGATGTAACGTAGAGTGCTCTGTCGCAGCGGAAATCGTAGGGAGAAGGTATAAATTGAATCGGGTCCACCACATCCGTCGTATAAAATGCTTCGCACGCCCTTTAAATTGTCTATGAACCCTCGTAGGAAAGGCGTTGCAGCAACTTACAGACAACCATTATATAACGGAAAATGCCAATAACTCTTCAGTAATGTTATCAAACGTTTGAACATGAAAGTCATCAATCTTTGCTATAATAACGATATTTGAGTAGAAGTGATAGGATCAAGGCATCGATATGAATTTGAGTAAGTTACTTTAAAATAATATTCAGAAATTTTTTTATTAAAGATGAATTTCAAAATAAGTTATAAAAGAACTCATGCAGTAAATAGTTTAAATTTTAAATTAAATTAAAACATTTTCAGAAGGATGATTAATGTTATTGGTAATATTTGCTGATAGAAATAGAGGCAAGATAATACAAGAAAGTATTAAGTTCTTGAAAAAGATGATGAATATTTAAGAATAAGATTAGTGGAGAAATTGATAATAAAATTAAAATTATATGAAACATTATTAAAGTCAATTTAATCAGTGTCTAGTCTTGATCTTGATCAGTCTATTATTAATCAATGTCTCAAACACATTTAGAACTATCTGAAAATGGTCTTTTAGAATAGTAAAAATTCTTTGGAATATTTTTAAGACGTTTTTTTTTCTTTTTTTCCAGAGAAAAATCAGAGGTGAACGAACGAAAGTAGGACTATAGATGTAAAGAAGGTACAAAGAGAAGTACGATACGTGAAATGAAGCTATCGGCTGGCAAATGGTGTGCTACGTGGTATCGAGGGAGGTTAGTCAGGGTGGCTGGTTGGTGATGCATTGCGCGAACTCCCCGCGGCAAGGTCACGTGACTCGTCCCCTCGGCCTATCATTGATCGTTCCCCGGAGAAGCGTTGGACACACCGTTGTCGTATCAGCGCACGTCGTCCATGTCCATACTACTACACTTTAGGTATGTATTTCTTTCGCGCTATGGCTTCTAATCTATTTATATACTTCTGGAAAGAGCAAATTCAACATTGCTCAGTCGAAACATACGCAGATTCTCACGAATAATAATTAATTACCGTTACTACGACGAACGAACGAGAGATCGGGTAGAGAGTCTTATCAATTTAGAGATGAGAAGAGCACACGTGACCATAACAATGTTGAAAACTTAAGAGTTGTTCAAAACTTAACGTACCTTTGTTCGAGTCTCCTTTTCATTAGACCGTATCGTTCATTTAATCATCGCTAGAAATAATACAAGGGAAACACGCGTGTCCTAAACTTCCTTTATTTTGTCTACTAGTTTTCTTTAGCTACATTATTTCTATTGAAAAAAAAAATTTATTCTACAATTATCTTAAATTAATCTTTCAGATTAGAATATTAATTTAAAAAATATTCTCACTTTTAATGACAATGAAATAGTTTAGATTCATCAAAAATGGTTAACTTGGAATAGCTTTTAACTCATTCTACTTTTAGAGTAGTTCACTTTTATTCTTACTTTCTTTTGTATGTTCATTAAAGTATGATAACAAGGAAATGATCTCATAATATAGACATAAAAATGAAACAGAATGTATTTATCGATATTTCTTGCAGTCATTTTGTTAGCAAAAACATTTTCGTGTAAAAGATTTTAGGAAACATGTGTCATGTTGATGACAAACATTTCGCTGTCTCGTTATATTCGTTTTTCCTGTAGCATGATGCGTTCTACCAATGTAATAGTAAATGTAAAGCACTACAGAATAGGAATATGGTAAAAAAAAAGCAACAAGAGAAAGAGAAAAATTGGGACCAATTCCTTTTTCCGGACATAGGAGTATAGGAGGCGTTTGCGTGTCTCTGTTGACACGAAATACGCATTAGACGCGGTAGCTGCATCCTGCTTTCCTCTCGGGTATTGCCTCTTTACATTCTCTCTTGCATTATGAGACGTTCACGCGCACCCTCGACGTTCTGTTTGCTTGCGTATGTCGAGAACGGTACATACATACAATTTACCATATGATGTGTACAACAGAGTAAAGCAATAGCAGATATATCCTGAGAAAAAAAGTTTACTTACGTAAGCCATCAATGCTCATGTCACTCCTGAAGATTATTCATAAAATATTAATAAAAGAACATTAAGTGACGAGGAACTTTCTTCAATTATTTATTTGAGTATAAAACAGACCCTTAACGATAATAAATAACATAATAATAATATTCTTCTACGAATAAATGACATATTTTGGAGTAAAATGATGTATAAAAAGATTAAGTGAATATGTCATTTACAAAATTGATAGCAGAATAATTTTTAAAATTCATTAGCTGAAAAATACAAGACGATTACGAACCGTTATTCAGAGTCGAAATTCATTTTATTTCCATTCTCCAATTACTTTGTGAAAAAAGAGTCTTTTTTCTCAAATAGTCTGTTTCTCCTCAGTCTTTTTCCTATAATTACAATTATTCTGACGTTTGACTTAATGAGATTTTTTCATCCCATCCAGTTCATTATGATGATATATTTAATGTTTATTTACATCAAATGCAGCATCTCTATTCTTAATTATATCACTTGATTCATAACAAACGTTTTCAGGATATTATTTGTTTCGAGTAATTTATCCTCCGGACAAATGAATCATTTACTGCTCTGAACCGCAGTATAGAGCATCATAAAAGATTTGAAAAGCTGCGACGGCGCGGTTTGTTTCATTGTAAACATCAATATGAGCGAGGGACTGCGCACCAATCACTGCGTCTGCGATATACCACAATTTCTTTGCATCATTGTTACGGATAATTATTTTTATTACATCATAGCAGGCTGATATATAAAGCTTATTCAGTGAGCATTTTCCACACGGTATGGCAATCTATCTCCAAGCTATTTTCTAGTACGCTGAGCTTTATATTTTGTGTCTCGTAATAAAACACAAAATAAACAAAACAGCTCTAGATTTTAGGAATATGTCGAATTTTATTTCATCAGATTATTTTTATTAGAGAAAAAATGATTTTTTATTCGATTTCACATGCGTGTATCAGGCAGATGCTCTGCTGCACCTGTTCTCCACTATCGTGGATTTTTTCTTCCAATCCTCAATAATAAGGCGAGAGCCCGTATATTGAATACTTCCGTTCGAGTAATGAGGATTCCCGCGGGTGTTTTTTAACAATTTTGTAAAGGTGGATGCTGTATTTATATATTTCTGGTTATATAGTTGGCATATATAGCCATCTACTATCATATTTGTAGCATTGTCAGGTGTGGATCCATTCATCTTGATACATACACTAATATTTATGACAAATGTACATACATACGTATGTTATACGAGTCAATCCAGAATTTATTGAAATTCATATGAGATCAAAATACCGTTTTACACCTTTGGGCATACAAGCTGCGCGGTAGTTTGACCGCTATATCCATTACATGCTCTATCCTTTTCAATCTTATACATAATAATATAAGTATTAGGTACATTATTATGTTTTAAAACCACCGACGGTTTATCAGCCGCCTTTGCCACGGGTCAAGTGATCGTTTTACGATGATGCAAATAATTATGGGTGATGTACAGAAAGGTACGCCCATATATTTTTTTTCTACAATAAACTGTGGTCATTAAGTGATGACTGCAGACGCGTTTGAACCACTGCGTTAACCGGTTGTAGTTCAAATTTAAACCCTCTAACCACTTCTCCATCAAATCCTTCATCTCAATTACCAATATAATACGTGAAATACTTTATTACTAGTTACGTTCAATCAGCACTTCCGTGTGTTAGAAGATGACTGGATAGAAATAATATTAACGTTCGACCTTTCTTCTTTAATTTTTTCATTGAATAACATTATTTGATTAATTTTTATTATAATAAAATATTAATTATTATTGACGATTAAGTACAGTAGCAGAAGTCGTTTCGACGAACGTTGACCAATTGTTATATGTATATTGAGCCGGGGTATTGTAGTAATATTGTTGTCACATAGACCGAATAGAACAATTGGTGCAGAAAATTGGATAAGTAGATCTACAAGCTTTGTATGAAACAGAGGGAAAATGCATTGTGAATTGAAAGAGAGGGAGGATAGAATAAGAGATGGAAAGTGTATAAGAGTAAGCGAGATAAAAGCATTGATCCGCTGAGCGCAAAGTGGCCCTGAGGAGTTGAATGGAGCTACCACAAAAAAATATGTCAATCACACCGAGTGCCTTTGGGTTTATACTTGGAGATTTGTAGGGAGGCATGCATTTGCTACCAGATGATTCGTACTACTATGTAGTGTACTTTAACAGAATACGTGTCAAACGGATGTCGTGCATCTCACTGACTTGGGATTACTCGCATCGTTGAAACCGCAAATCAATTTCGTCATCTGTCCTCAAAAATTAGTCATTCTATAGATATATATATAAATATATTCGCTGAATGCTCTATAACATTGATGAATATAATAATTTTTAATTAAATCATCATTTAATATCATACAATCAAAATTTTAATTGAAATAATAAATAATTTATTTATTTATTTCCAACTGCTGTGGATGAATGGCCGAGGGAAAATTTTAATTCGAAGAAATGTTTAACAAACTGACATATGATGTGGACTATTGTTGAGCTGATTCCTTTTATCGAATATATGACCGGTGAGCACTCAGTAGAAAGGAAGGAAATGTATGGAATATATTGAGACGAGTTCGTCAACCGTAGTAGTTATTCGGGGAATAGCAGTGATGAGGAACACAGATTTAACTCAAATAATATGATTTGAAGAAACGTTATTATTTCTATCGATAATAAAAAAAAAAAAATTACAAGCATTAACTAAAATAATTAAATTAATTTCTTTTTTTTATCAAAAAGAAATTTTTTAAATATTGTTTTTCAACTTTAATTAATGTTTTGATGATTTTTTTTTTTTTGGTATGACTTTCTCTCAATAGAATTTATTTGATTTTTTTCTTCATGTAGCTCCACGAATTTGGTACGCAAAATTTTTTTTAACACGAGATATTTCAATCTACTTAATGTAACTGATATAAAGATGCTCATCAGTTTATTTGCAATTTAAAGTGATTCTGCAAAGCACCAAAGCATGCTGGGGAGCAGCTGGATCAAGCGAAGAAAAAGAATAGAGGAGTTAGTGGAGGTATCAAGGGTTTTTCCACGCTCGCGCAATCGGTAAACCACGACGACAATGACTGTAAATTGGATCTGAAGATAAAGGGCAGAGAGTAGAGAGAGAAAGAGAACGAAATAATTTATTTACGTAATAGTAATAGATATATTTTTGTAATGCGTTGTTAAAATTTCAAATTGGGATTGATATATAAAATATGATTACGCAAGGGTTTCACCAACAGCGAGTGATAATCGGATTTATAACTGCATTATCTTGCAAAGTGCGCACTACTGGAAGCATGTTTGCATAAAATATTAATAAGTGACACGAGTCAATCCGGGATTAAGAACTGGCGCATGTATTGGGGTTACTCTCGCGTCACGCGTGGACAAGTAATCCCCCAAGCCAACGATCCTCGTCACTTTATCTATCTCTATTTTATTTTGTTTGTGTTAGCTTTTCCCACGCAGAGTATAATATAAGAAGAGAATGTCATCTTTCATCCCTTCTTATTTTTTTTCTTTCTCATTTTCACACGACCAAATATCCCTTCTTATCGATTGACGTCTGGGTCTCTGTAAATAGCAATAATGCCAATCGACACGTGAGGGGACTGTCGCAACAACGACAAACATTCGTATAAGGGTTGCTCTTATAATAATGTCAGTAGCACCTCAAAGTAAATCTCCAAGACATCATCAACCCCACAACACTCACACACAGTCACTCATCCAGCTATTTTATTCTTAATTAATTCAAAATCACATTATAATGTTTTTACAATGGGATCGAACTAATCATACTGGCACGTGGCAAGTGCTTTAA